GGTCAAGAGGTGGTTGGATTAGGGAAAGGGGGAGTTGGGAGGAAAAGGTGAAGGCGAAGGTTGGAGGCACAAGCCACTGACATTTTATGGAGGAGGCGTTGGAGGGTCTATGGACCCCTTTCCAGGCTTAAATATTCTTTGAATGTAATTAAATCACTGTTGTTTTTCTCTTGCAGATAAAAAAATTACAACAAAATTAAGAAAACTCTAAATTACTCCTAACCTACCACTCAGAGACATATAGTATATCACCCAGTATATATAAATTACTGCATTTAAATTTGTATCCTGCTTTTAAAACTCAACATTATAGCAAGATCATTTTCCCCTGTTATCAAATAATATATGAAAACATGATTTATGAAGTCTGTATTATATTTAATTGGGATAGTAGATTACAACTTACTTAGCCAATTTTTTATTAATGGGAGGTTAGGTTGTCAATCTCTAAATGGTCTCTAACTCATGCTGCAGCCAACATTCTTGCACATGAATCTGTCAAGATATGCTTGTTCTTTTAGGATAAGAACTAAAAGTGGACTCACTGAGTGATATATATAATACTTTTTTTTCAAATTTATTATAAATCTAAAAGAAGTGCTAGCTTCTTGCAAAATATATAAGCAATTCTAAAGAGTGCAAAAGAAAACACTGAAGTCCTGTCCCCACTCTTTGTCCCACTACTGGGAGGTGACACCGTTCACACTTTCATAATAAAGACTCAAGATTTTCCCATGTGCATTGACAGGCACACATACTTTTTCTAAGTGTGTATATTTGTATATGATGGGAGAATGACAAATCACACACTGTTTTTTCCTTTTTGAAAAATCAAATAAGTCATTGTAAGAAAAAATAACATATTCATTGTAAAAATAAAACAACTAATCAAATATCATTAGGAAAGAAAGTAGAGAAAGTAGCTAAGTAGCTGTTCCTGCCTCCCACTGTCTCCACGTCTGCTCTGGTGGGCACAGTGATGGAAGCCTGGCCCACTCCCTGTGAAGACCTAGAGGAGAGGCAGGCAGACCCCTGGAGCTGCAGTGCTGGAGGGGAGATGACAGAGCGGGCTGGTGCAGAGTGGGTGGAAGCTATCATCCCAGTGCCATTATGGTTTGTGATTCTGGGAGGGACGGGGCCTGGCGAAGGACTGGCTTCTTTGATGGGATCAGGAGCAGAGACTTGCAGGTCCTCAGCCTGCCTGGAGGCCTGGCCTTCCAAGCCAAACAAACTGAGGGGTTTTCTCTGCCAAGACATGCTTACTCCTGACCCAAGTGGCACTGTTGGCTGAACTGCTGCCCTCACACCCTCCCACAGGAGTCTGAGAGCCCAGAGGCTTCCTCCACCTTCCTCAGGTGGAAAGACTCTCCTCTACAACAACCCACAGAACTGAGGAAATTCCAGCCACCCGCCCAGCAAGCTGAGAGAAACCATAGGGCTTGGCGTATATGGGCAAAGGAAGGTTACTGGTACTTTACAGTAACCCAGGGGTTTGAATGAGTGAAGAGGACTCCTAAGCTATCACACTCAGAACTGTCCTCAAAGAACTGCATCAAGGACTGCCCAGCCCTCTGCGCTTCGTGTGTCAGTGTAGGTGGATCCCCTTCTGGCAGGCAAGTCTGGGCTTTCGAAGTGCTTCAGGTGTGTGTGTGTGTGTGTGTGTGTGTGTGTGTGTGTGTGTGTGTGTGTAAGGAATGTTTGGCTCTGGAAAGGTTGAGAGCTGAGCTTAGCATGGTCTCAGCATTACTACCCCCCGAGGCCTCACTCCCTGTGTCGGTACCAAGGGCAATGTCCTAGAAGCCCTCCAAGTTCTGACAGTACCCCGACCTACCCTTCAGGCCAGAAATCCTTTTGAAAGCCTCCATTGAATCACATCCACCACGTTCCAGGCCTGACTCAGAATGGGAGTTCAGACTTCTGTCACTTAGAATCACAGCTGGAACAGCATCGTCTATGGCCTTGGGGATGGCAGGGCCCTGCCACCCAGGACTTGTATTCTGGTGAGGAAGCGAGACAGACAACAATACAGGAAGATGAAGTAGTCCTGGGCTCGGGAAGAGCAGGAGTCTTGATTTCCCCTTTTCTCTCCTGTAAAATGGGACAGTAGTATTCTCCACGTAGGCTGTTACAAGGATTAGAAAGCAAAGTCATGTAAGGTGCCTGAGCCCCTCCTCAGGACGCCCGGGTGTCCTTGGCCTCCCTCCCGCATTCCAGCGGGAGATGGCCGCGGAGCCCGCATCTCTTCCTCGGCCCTCGCATCTTCTTCGCGTGCCCTGAGTCTGGCAGCCCCGAGGAAGCCGGAGGCCTCCACGCCGCTCCGGGCAGAGGTGACCCAGGACGCGGCGTGCCGGGTCTCTCCCGCCCGGCCAAGGCCGGTGTTCCCGCGGCGTACCTGGTCCTCCGGCTCCGCCCCGCGGCCACCGGGCCAGCTGCACCCGAGCCGCCAGGCGGCGCGGCGCAGCTCTGCCCCCCATGCTCCTGCGAAGCGGGCTGTCCCCAGCTCCCTTCCCGGGCGGCAAGCCCATGTTGGTGCCAGAGCGCTCGCTGAAGGTGACTCCTGGGGCAGGTGCCCATTTCTGTCCCCTCAACCTTCATCCTTGTCAGCCCGGGACTTCCTGCCCTTCCTGAACTTGCTGGCCCCATTTAGCCAGGTTTTTCTGTGTGTCTGAGGTGGGACCCCCCACAGCCAGAGGCCTTTTCACTGTGGAGAGGATCAGACATGAGCTATTAGATATAATGGTATGATAATGGTATTGTGTTTTGTCGGTGGAGTACACAGTGATGAAGCCAGGGCTCCAGGTCCTTGTCTGACCACCAGAGGGAATTTGGAACCTGAATGGAGGTGTAGCTACTGGCAGAGCCAGGACAGCCCAGAATTTTAAACTTGAAACCCTAAATGCATCCAAACTAACATTCAGGTAAGGAGGCGAAGTAAAGACGTTTTTGGATGTGCAAACCCTAAGAAAGTTTAACTCTCATAGGCTCTCTCTGAAAAAAAAAAAAATGATTTAAAGATATGCTCAGAAAGAAAAGATAATGAAGCCACAAAAGAACAAGACGAGATAAATAAAGAATAGAGGGCAAAGAAATTAGTGTCCTCATAGTTAAGTCTAAGTAATTGTGGATAAGTCACAAGGGGGAAAAAGTGACAAGCTAGAGAACACACTCCAGGCGTGAGTTTATCTCAGTGCAGGAGTGGGGCAGCAGCGGCAACGATCATGATCTTGGGAGAGGATGACAGCAGCAGCTTCCGAGGGTCTTGCTCAGTGCAGGCCACAGTTTCTGTAAGTTCATGCAGTGGAACATATTATGAATCCGTTAAGATGAATGATGTAGTCTTATACATAAGCAAATAGAAAGACACAGTATTAGGTTAAAAAAAAGGGGGGGGGAATAAAAAGAAAGCCACAGAAGGATGCTTACAGAATGCTTGCTGTTTTAGAATATATGTAATATGTAGTCTGCACGTGCAAAAACATCTGGACGGTGCAACTGACATAGGACTCAGCAATTGCATTCCTGTGCATTTATTCCAGAGAAATAAAAACATATGTTCTCAAAAAGTTTGATAAGTGTTAAGCCTGCGGGATGAAAATATAGAGGTTCATCGTCTGTCCTCTCTACATCGTCTGTTTTATATTTTTATAATAAAAATGAAAATTTATACAACAGGTTGTTGCATTGCGAAGCTCATAAATAGCGAATGGATATCCAGGGATAAAATTTCCAGGGACATAATCATGATGCAAAAATTGCTTATTTTCGAGTAGCTCAGAGGAAGTGCTCAGACAGTCCTAGCAGTGAAAACGACAATATGGTACCAAAAGAGCAATTAGGGTCAAATAGTCTCATAAAATGGGAGAGTGACAAAGTGATATTTCTAAACTGGTTGATAAAATGGTGTATTTTTTATATAGAATTATTTTCAATATAAAAGTGTAGTAAGATTAACAATTCACATGTTTTCAATAGTAACAAACGATGTGGGAGATGAAAGACCAGACACTTCTATTTCTTCGGGTGGCTCGATTCTTCCAGCAGGAGGCAAATACCTCCCTAGGTATAACTCTTTTCAAGATTTGTTTAAGGAATATTATTAATCTTCATTATCTTTTATATTGCATGTTTGGTGCATATAAAAATACACGTGGTATACACCTAGGACCTAAAGTAATATTTAAATAAATGCCTATGAATCAAACACAAATTAAGACCCAAAATGATACCAATAATTTTGCATTTATCTGCATCCTCTTTCTTTGTTCAGCTCCCTTGGTCTCCCCCAGAGCTGCCATTATCCTGAACTGTGAATTTATTACTGTAATTCTTTTCAAATTTCAGCCTAATGTTCATATACTCTTATCCAAGGTATTATGTAGTCATGCTTCATTTTGAGCTTTGTAATTCTTTTCAAGGCTCCTTGGGATTCTAATCTATTGGGTTCAAGATAGGATGTCTCTAACTTAATTTTCTTCAGGGTGAGGAATGGAAGAGAAGAGTCTGGACCCTCAGTTCTACTTGAAACTGGAAGCCATAAAGCCACTGGAGCTAATATCATAACAAGTATGAAAAAAATGTTTGGCAGATGGCCTGTGAGTTATCAGCACCCTGGACAGATCAGGGTCACCTCAAGTATTCTGCTACCTTATAAAAATAAGAAAATATTTTTATTTTCTTTCAGTGCTGCCAATAGGATTTTCAAGTGTCTGAAAACATACTTTTCTCCCTATGTAATGCTCATATTTTAGGCAACACTAACCTCTTCGAAATCCTGTCAAATACTGTATGATTCCACTTACACACAGACACTTGGAGGAGTCAAATTCATAAAGATGGAAAATAGAATAGTAGTTGCCAGGGACTGGGGGGAAAGGAGAATGGGGTATTATTGTTTAATAGGTAAAAAATTTCAGTTTGAGAAGATGAAAAAAGTTCTGGGAATGGATGCTGGTGATGGTTGCAGAAGTATATAACTACACTTAAAAATGGTTAAGATGATAAGTTTTATGTTCTGTGTATTTTACCACAATTAAAAATAACAAAATAATAATGTGGCTACATTGAGACACAAGTTATGCTTCCATCACAGTAAGTTTATTGCAGTGGTGACAATGAGACCTGTAACATTTTCTGCTAGGCTCAGTAAGTAAAAACTGGATGTAATAAGACTTTTCAATATTAGAAACAATTAAGGAATAATATATTTTAGGCTATTTGCCAAAATAGCAAAGTACTTCTTACAATTTAACTTTTAGGGCTTGAAAGTAAACTGCTTGAAGAAATTAGGTCTCAATGATTATAGGACTGACTGACATGACAACTGTGGACTGAGCAAAAATTATTTTAAAAGGGATTAAGACTCAAACTCAGGGGGAACTAAGGTAGTGGAAGGAATCACAACATGAGAAATTCCTTAAATAAAAATTTATTAACTTTAAGGGGGAGGTATACAGGGAGAAAATTAAAATCATTTCTTCAATTAAAAAAATAAATTTAAAACAAAAAAATTACTAACTTTAAATAATTGTGCCTGTTACACATAACAAAAAAATCCCTTTACACTTTTTGTAGAAAGTCAGCATGTATTTCTCTAGTGTTTTCTGTGGAGGGAATAAAATAAAATTTAGCAGTTAACAGTTGTATTGTACTTTTGGCATGAAAAATTTTAAGGAACCCTGCTCACCTTATGCCTTGCTCTGCTTCAGGCATAAGCATCTTGCTTTGCTTTCTCTTTCTTTTGTTGTTTTACTTTATAGATTGTATAATCTGTAAGGAAATTATATGGAATTAAATACAAATACTTCAGAAAAAAATAGTGACATAATAAAATTGCTATTTGCATTTTTAAAACTTAATTTGAGAGAAGGTTCATAATAATCCTCAAACAATGACTGAGAAAACCCTAGGAAAAGCCAGCCATGACAGTTCTGGCCAAACAACATGTGTTATTTAATTATGTTCACTCTAGAAATAATAAACTTTTAAAAATAACCAAATGAGATTTGTTAATAAAATATGAAACAAAAAGAAGGAAGTAAAGAGTTCACGAGAAAGAAATTCACATTTGGGGAAAATATTACAAAACAGAAGTGCTTTTTCTTTTTTTCTTTTTTACTTTGTATTGAGGTATAATTATGTACAGTCAAGTGCACAAATCTTAAACGTATAGCTTGGTGAATTTAGAACATTTCCAGCACACCAGAAGCCTCCACTGGAACCCCTCTCAGCCAATATCCCTTTCTGTAACGGTCACCAATAATTGGTTTTCTATCACCATAAAACTTTCTATAAATGATGTCACTAATTATGTAGTATGTCTTCTTTTGCTCAGTATTATGTCTGTTATATTCATTGGGTTGTAAGTAGCAGTACTTTCTTCTTTGTATCTCTATTCTTTTGATTGCCATTGTGTAAACACACCACAATTTATGTATCCATTCTCCTCTTGATGGACATTTGGGATGTATCCAGTATTTTGATAATAATGAATAATGAATGTTACAAATATTCTTGTATGTGTCCTTTGGGGAACATGTGCATTCATTTCTATTGGAAATACGACTAGGAGAGGAATCGTTGGTCCTAGGGTATAAGAATTTTAGCTTTATAGGTACTGACAGTTTCCCAAGTGGTTGTACCAATGTATACTCCCACCAGCAATGTATGAGAGATCAATTGTTCTCTATCCTTTCCAACATTTCGTATTATCAGTTTTCAAAAAAAAAAACGTAGCCTTCAGACAGAAATAAATTTTGAGAATTAAGAATGAGATATAGTAACAGCTACTGGGTTTATAAAAATAATTATGAGTGAACAACACATACTGATATACTTGGAAATGTGAATGAAATGGGCATTTTTCTTAGACTACAAATAAGCAAAATCCACTAGAGAAGAAAGAAAAACCATTATTATTTGAGTAATACTTAAGAAATAAAGTTATTATGAAGTATGAACAAGGTAAATAGTCTGAATGAGTAGACAGTTTGAGTCCGTTTCAGTTAGTAGAGTCTGGAATTGAGTGGTGAAGGTCGGTGATGACTGGGCCACTGGAGTTATGGTCTTTAGTAAAACTTCTTGGAGCAACAGGATGTGCAGCCAGGCTTGAAATCCGTTGCATTAGATCTAATAATTTCATGTTTAGTAATTTAGCCTAAAAAAAATCAGATGCAGACAATGCTTCAAGGATTTCCATTGCCGTGTGATTATAATATATTTTAAAGGTTATAAATCTAAACATCCTATTCTCCAATGGAATAGTACACATACTTTTAAAACCATGTGTTATTGTTGTTGTTGTTTTCTAATTTTCCAACAATGAACAATGCGTTATTTTGAATAGGGGTGAGGAGGGAATAAAAAAAAAAACCCTTATGTTACGCTGTTGTCGTTTGAAAGAACTACAAGGAGAAACTGACAGCCTAGAAAGGGAATTCTGCCACCATACCCTCTCTCCATGACAGGGGCTTCTAAATTATTCTACCTGCAGACATCCCTGCCTTCTCACCTCTTGTTCTCACCCCTTTCCCCTCTTCGGGCCCATACTGCCCCCGTTCCATCCTCGTCTCGATCAGGACATCCTTTTCCAGATGGTCATCCCAGGACACACCGGACGCCCATTGAGATAGAGGGGCGAAAGGCCGTCCAGGGTTGGGGCGCCCTGGGTCTGCCCTCTCTGCAGGGGGAGGGCTAGAGGCTGGGCGCCAAGGTCCTGGGTTGGGCAGAGCCCCAGGGAGGGACCCGCATTCGTGTACGCAGAAAGAGGGCTCAGAAACTCCGGCTGCCGGTTGGCGCGCCCCGGCGCCGGGGTCCCCCGAGCCCTCTCTCCCTCATCCCAGCGGAGTTTACCCACCAGCAGCTGATGGGGTACCGCGCCGCTCCGGGCAGGGGCGACCAAGGACGCGGCGCGCCGAGTCCCTCCAGCCCGACAGTGGCGCTCCGCCATCTCTGGTCCTCGGGCTCCGCCCCGCGGCCACCCGGCGAGCTGCACTCGAGCTGCCCAGCTGGGCGGCGCGGCTCTGCCCTCCAGGCTCTTGCGAAGCCGGCTGTCACCACCACGCGCCCCAGTCACCTTCCACTCCCGGCCACCCCGTGTCGGTGCCAGAGCACGCGATGAAGTTCACGCCTGAGACAAGTACCCGTTTCTGCCCCCTCTACCATCCTCTTTGCCAGCCTGGGTTTCCCGCCCTTCCTGAACTTTCTGGCCCTTTTAGCCAGGTTTCTCTGTGTGTCTGAGGTGGATGGAGCTGGAACTCCCCACAGCCAGAGGCTCCTTAACTGGGGAGGGAATCAGACAGTTAAAGACGTAAAGAGGCTGTGTTTTGTCTCAGGGACTGATGGATGGTGCAGGGGACCACAGAAATGAGGGGTGCTGACCCCCACCCTTTGACCAATGCTGAGCCTCCCATGCTTTGTGAAGATGTTTCGTATCCTCCTTTACTTGGCAAAAGCGTTGGGAAACGTGGGGCACCAACTGCGTCTGCACACCTGCACAGGAGTCCTGCTTCCCTCGCTCAGCGAGGACTTGCTGCACTGGGAGGCCCCAGGAGTGGGGACAGCAGAGCTCCTCCCCGGGTCATCTGAAGTCACCCTTGTCTGGCGCTCCATTGCTTGGACGCTGCCAAGTCCCACTATCGCCTTTAACAATGGAGGGAAACTGAGGGAGCTGGGCCATTATCACTGTGCTCACTCTATAGAGGCTGAACCGGAGGAAGGGAATAAGTGGCAGAGCCAGGCCCAGAACTCATACCTTCTGCCTTAGTCCAGTGTTTGTCCCTGCCTCACAGACGGTGGAGGGGAGTGCGCTGGCCTCTGATGGCCTAGCTTGGAGGAGAGAGGCTGCCCTGAGTCTGGAGTACCTTGCTAAGTGGCAGAGAAGGGAGGGCAGGCAAATGTGACCTGCCGGTGCCACATCTCACCTTCTCTCTCTCCAGGGGTCCTAGGTGAGATGGCTTCCCCCATCAGCCAAGAAGTTTCTGCTAAACTGGCACCGGCTTAGCTTCCTTCTCATCCCCATTCTTACTTATCCTTCCCAGGAGGGCACAATGAAGGTCCCCCCCACCGCACACGCACATACACCCTTCAGAAGCATGACACAAGGAACCTTCCCAGGCCTGCCCCCCAACACTCGGAGGGCTCAGGACAGGAATACAAATGCAGACCCATATATCATGTTTCATACTTAAAGACTTAAACCAAACTAACAACTTAAATATGTTTTATCTTCCAACCTTGACAAAATATATCTTCATTGCGACCTGAAAGGCCAGGTTTGAATCTAGAATTCTCAGAATCCTTCAAGTTCTTCCCCAGTGTAGGGAGACCTGGCCCTAGGCCAATGGCTGACCCCTGTGTCTGTCATGCATTGGGAGGGGCTACACACACTGGCAGGCACCGTCAATGATAAGGTGTGCCTGGGAAATACCTGCACTGTAATCTAGAAGCAATTTGGTCAGGAATTCCAGGGTCCTAGATACCCAGAATGTTGTCCATGAGGAGTCGGGGACCACATTCCCTCAACCCCACTGATTTCCAGCCCCGTGGGGCGGGCGGGCGCTGGCTGAGGCACCTCTTGTCTGGATCTAAGGGTGGGCCTCTTCCTGCTCCCCACTCCGCCTGCCTTTCTCTTTGGAAGTTTAAAGTTAGGGGATAAGACTAAATTCAGGGTGCCTGCCCCAGTGCGATGGCTTTGCGGGGGCGGGGCGGTGCAGAAGCAGGAGAGATGTTAGTGGAAACTTAAGAGGGCTTTCTGTGTGGGGGGTGGTCCTGGACCAGCAGCTCCTGGGGAAGTTGTTACCTGGCAGGGAGGAGACACCAGCAAAGGGGACCTGCCGCCCTCTGCCAGACTACCTGGGCAGCTTCTGGGAGTGGTTGGGGATATCTGGGTCTCCCAGAGAAGCGGTTTCCTGACCCAGTGAATGCTCTCCGAAGAATGAAGGTGGGCAGAAGTTGAGTGCACTGGCAACCTGCAGGAACGTGGGCTGCTAAGTAGTGTCTGCCGCTGTCATTTATCACTGCTGAGCTGGGCCCCAGCCACTGCCGGATTCTCGGGGAGCCTGATAGGTTATTTCTAGTATGTAGTGTCAGGGCAAATGTGTTCACTTTAACACTCTCTAGAAATAAACTGGAA